AGGAACATATCTATGTGAAATTACAACTATAGTAAAAATGGGTAACTATATTTATGCGAAGAATAAGTTCCAACACTTGATGCAACATTTTTTTCTAAACATCTACTTTTTGTGCGGTTTGCAATTTTGATGCAAAATCAGCAATACCGCATAGAATTAGGTATATTCTATTATATATTATAGGTATATTATGTATTCATTTATGTTAAATACATGTCAATTTTGTAAATAAATTTGACTTAAAATATATGTTTTATAGATGCTGTTTTTAATAAGAGAACATGTGGTTTTTATTTTCTATATCTTTTATGGTAAAGACCAATCAAACAGGTGATGATAAATGGAAAACCGGCATATAACAAAATTGATTATCCTAATGAATATAACTAATAATAGATAACTATTATTTAATTTTTTTTGTTGTAGTAACAAAAATAGAAGTTTCTAAACAAGGAAGTAAATAATTTAGTGAAGAGTTCAAAACATTTATCTGTACCGGTATTTGGACAAATGTATATCAACAGGTGTTTTTAATTTAGACCACTACATAAACATTTTGTGACCTACCTGTTTATTGCTCTATTAGCAACTATAATAAAACGTATAAAACTCTTTTAAATATTTTGTTATTATTACTATCGAGATTAATATACAGGGTTGTTCACCACATATGACACGTAGAATTGTAGCTAAAAGTTTCGAAGCTACAGGGGGATTCTCAAATTTTGTACTTTTTGAAGATGTTCGATAGTTTGTTTATTTCAACAGCTACGCAAAAATGAATTAAACATTCTAAAGGCACTTTTCTGTGTAGAATGCAGTGGCGTAGTCAGACTTTTTTCGAAAAAAATATTTTTTTAGATATTAACTATATGCTTATGTTTTTTTTTAAATACAACCCCCTGTATATTTTTAAATTTCCTGATTCAGTTTGGCATGGGCTTCTCGAAAATATATAACTCTATATATTTATTTTCACTATTAACTTTAAAATTCCTATTTATTTAAAGATATCGACTTTGCTCTTGGTAGATCATGCTGAGTATTAAAGGAAACAAGCGAATATCTACTTTCAAATTAATCCATGTATTAGCAATTAAATAAATTCGAACATATGAAGCAAATAAAAAATAAGTGTGACGGAAACAAAAGAACAATATATATTTTAATACAAACTCAACAGGTTACTTCAATCAGGCTTCAAACACAAAGACTACATTAAATGTTCAAACTGCTGCCCATTATTATCTAGACGGAGTTGGAACCGTCTCTGCACGCCGCCGCTAACAGCATTTCGAATGTGTATGTTGGTTACACTTTGCAAAGCCACAACAAAACTATCTTGTGACTCTTCTAATGTTCTATTTGCATTTCGATAAATTTCGTTTTTCAGAAAGTCCCAGAGAAAGGAGTCCAAAGGAGTGATATCAGGTGATCAAGGTAGCTGGAATTAAACTATTTTCTGACCTTTTAAAAATGGCTGGGTTTAATTGCTCGCCGAGGGGTGTCTCACTACTGGAATTACATGTACATTTTCTTGGCAGTCGCTGGCAGTCATTGGCAGTCTTACGGCAGTCACCTATAATAATTACATGGCAGTCATAGGCAGTCTTCTTGGCTGTGATTGGCAGTCGCTTGGTAGAAAGATGATATTTTGGCAGTACATGTACATTTTTTACCCAAGTGAGACACCCCTCGTTGCTCGCGCTCAAAATACCGCTCATAATATAAATCAGCTGCCATTTGCTTATGTTTGTTAGACTTAATATAACATATTATATTTCTCAAAATTTTCAAAATTACTCATTTTTTTATTATTTAAAATACACACACTTCAATCTGTTGAAATGAAATGTCACGCATCCATCAAAGATATGTCCCGATCATCATGACAACCGTTTATTTTTTTACTCGGCGCGGCCTACTACGATATTTTAAGAAAAATTTGAAATGTTGAGGTTAATAGTGAAAATAAATATAGAGTGTTATATATTTTCGAGAAGTCCATGCCAAGCTGAATCAGGAAATTTAAAAATATACAGAGAGAGAATATTTAAAAAAAAACAGAAGTATAGTTAATATCTAAAAAATGTTTTTTTCGAAAAAAGTCTGACTACGCCACTGCATTCTACACGGAAAAGTGCCTTTAGAATGTATAATTCATTTTTGCGTAGTAGCTGAAATAAACAAACTATCGAACATCTGCAAAAAGTACAAAATTTGAGAATCCCCCTGTAGCTTCGAAACCGATCAAGATAGCCATGATCCGTTTGCGGCATTGTGATTTTTTCAAAAAAAGAACCCGAGATTGCAGTATCAAAATTTGAATATTTCTTACGGTTTCCTAGATACCCTATAAAAACAACCAAAATGGTCCACCCTGTACATAAATTGAAGAATTTAAATGTTAAACGAAAATGACTTGATATAATCTCATTTTATACATCTATAAATGCTAACTTGAGAACTAATGTCAAAAATTATTAAGCATCACAATTTCGGCAGAATGGCATCGTTAAATGGCACTGAACATATCGAAATTAATTAAATCAAATTGTTTAAGTGATATTTTCAAAAGTCAAAAGTCAATAACTTGAGGTACATTGTGTGTATTTCAATTTTTGCTTAGAATTGAAGGAAGAATTGAAATATGCAGTAATATACAGGGGGTTTTATTTAAAAAAATAAAACTTTTATGTGCCACGAGTTTATGACTGACCCTGTATACTTAAATTTATTACTCGCTAATAGATATTTAAAAATCATATATCTTTTGTATTTAAATTTTTGTGGTACCTCCCATATTTTACACAGTTTCCATACAAAACAGCGACCCTGTATAATAATAAAGTATTCCTGCTTACTATTGCAGTAATCATGATGAAAACGCATATGAAACTAAACTCCTAAAAATGAAAACTGGCTTCGAAATAACGAACATTCTTAACTTTTCTTTTTTTTTTTGTTAGACAAAATATGACGATAACAAAGAAATTCAGAAATTATTAAGCATACTTTTTACTTACCACTATACTTATCCTTATTTAAATCTATACCTTATAAGTAATAAAACGTCAATATAAAAGTATAAGACATTTACAAAATTGAAACAAAACATTTTTTTTTCTAATAATAAAGCCCCCCCCCCTTTTTCAGTGTAATTTAAAACAATACTTTCTCTGTGAACCTTTCCAAACAATATTTAAACCTGCCAGGAATTTCATTAGCCTGTTTTTGTAGAACAAAGTGAACAGGTGACATAAATTGAAGGTAAAACGACGATTTGAATGAAATTTGCATCACAAAGTCACCGTTTTTCCATCTAGCTTGAATAATTTAACGTTTCCGATAAGGTCTTCTGTATCGCAAAAAGGCCAATTTTCCTTTTCCAAAGAGAATATTTTTACTGCAGATATATATTTAAAAATATTTACTGTAAAGGGCGTCCCATTTTTGTGTTTTACAGGGTGTTTCATTTATGAGTAAAGGTACAGTAGTAAGTGAAGGTTTTTACATCACTGTATATATATCATTTTTCGACTGCCCTCGTATCTGGGTTATCTTTTGATATATCGAAAAGGTGAAAAATGAGTCTCATAGAGTTTTTCACGTAGAATTCATTGACGTAACTCATGATACAAGGAGGGTTAGATAAGATATTACGCATGTAGTGGGCGGAGCTTAACAGAAAATTACTATCCGAGTGATTTGCCACCGCCAGGGATCTTTTGAGAGAAGATATTGCGCATGTAGTTGGCGGAGCTTAACAGAAAATTTGTTGTTTGTTGGCCTTGACACTTTACGGCCTTCACAGACGAGCTAGCGGGAAAAAAAGTGGTAAGGATTGCACTATCGCGCAAACACCAAAAAACATTCTAAAGCGGCCCATACATTATCAAACAAATTGCGCAACACAGACTGTTGCGCAACGAGTTGCCAATGTATGGTAACGTTTGATGCGTTGCGTAATTGTTTGATAAGTTTCAAGAATTTTTGAATTCTTTTGTGCAACAGGCGTTTGCGCAGCGCGTTGTGTAGTGTATGTTTGTGTTGCGCTTCGTTGTGCAATATTTTAGTTCTTTCATCCAAATTCTTTGTTTTCTTTTTCGTTTTTTGGTATCATTGACATCATCTAGGATATATACGATAATAATTGAGGCAAAGGCAATTGAGGACATGATTGTTTCTCAAACAATGCACAACTTTTAATAAAAAGTTTGATCAAAATTTTACTAAGTGCATGGATGATGCAGTTGTGCAACGGAACGTTGCGCATCGCTTTGTTGCGCAATTTGTTTGATAATGTATGGGCCGCTTAAATTTTTTTTTGGTGCTACTAACAAAAACAATTATAATAAACTTGATACTGTAACTGATGTGTACCAATATCCTCTGACTATGTGCTAATAAGTTAATTTTCATGCTTATTTTCATCGATAGGTTTATAGCTTCTGAATAACGGTCTAGGCAAAGCATCTAGCTCATTTGTTGGCTCAGAATTAGAATTATTAGAGTTAAAAAACTCGCATTTTCATTTGGAGAACATTGTATTTATTTCAAACATTATAAGATTATTGAACATCAATATTTATTTCAAACTAATAATCAATAAGAATATTTATGATTCGTATAATTTAACAAAATTACTGTAAATCACTATAAATAATGAACAAAACATGTAAAAAAACACAAATTGTTGGTTAGGTTCAAAATTTCTTTTCTCTTTTTTAATTAATTTTAAGTCTAGGATACAAAATACTAGGACAAAAATAGGAAATAAATACTAGGACTATCCGGGATTCTCTTCCTAAATAAATTTTAAGGCCGTTAACATCATTAGGCATTTGCATCCTCCTCCTCGTAGGTGCCTTCTCTGTTGAGGTTGGCGATTAATATGGCATATGACTCTCTGTCCAGAGCTTGGTGAATAAGGGTGTTCCGTCGGTGTGGGTCCAATCTCTTATGTTACATAGCCATGATTTCTTTTTCCTCCCTGGAGCGTCTTTTTCAATGATGTTTACCTTTTATATACAGCTACAGACAATAAATCGAGTGTCTTTGTCAATATGGTCTTTATTTCTAATTTACTGAATAACACGACAACAGAAAAATGGTAGTGCGATGCACTCCCCCTTAAAGGCCAGGCAATACTAAGTTTTTGTAAGCTTTTCGGCTGCGCTGTGGGCCTACGTGACTTCTGCCTTCTGCCAGCGACGCGCTCCCCGCCGGCGGCGATCAAGGTCCTGCGCTAAGGCCTTGTACGCATCGTACGTCGTACGGCTTTCAAAAACCCAACATGCCGCCCCCCTTGAAAGCTTGTCTTTCAAAAACCTTAACCCTAATTCCTAAAATCTATTTTAAACACTAAATCCTTAATGTTCCTAAAATTCTTATTAATTACTGCCTTCAAATGGTAGAACACATACACGAGAAGTAGACCTCTTTATTAAACCACTCGCGGTTTTAAGCGACACAACACGACATATCCCGTCACTACCCGTGTGTAACTCCACTACTCGTCCTAACTGCCATTTCATGGGCGGAGTGTTATCTTCTTTCACCAACACCATGTCATTAATTTTTATAGAGTCCGCTCTTATTCGCCACTTAGATCGCTGTTGCAAGTTACCCAAATACTCCGTTTGCCACCGTTTCCAAAAACTTTGGATAAACTGAGTCAATAACTGATACCTTTGTAAGCGATTTGGATTATGACCTTTTATATCTTCTTGAGGTAGAGCAGAGGGTGAGCTACCCATTAAAAAATGACCTGGCGTTAAAATTTCCAAATCATCCGCAGATTCACTTACAGGAGTAATTGGCCGGGAATTCAGACATGCCTCCACTTGGGTTATCACTGTATACAACTCTTCAAACGTTAACTTCTGATCATTTAAAACCCTCTTTAGATGGTACTTTGCGGATTTCACCGCAGACTCCCACAAACCCCCAAAGTGCGGCGAACGTGGTGGAATGAAATGCCATTTTATAAATGAATTTGTAAAGTACTGTGAGAAAACCTCCTGGTTACCCTTACCTGTAAAAATCGACTAAGTTCCGTAAGTTCATTATTAGCCCCTATAAAATTTGTCGCATTGTCGGAGTACACATTCCTACAAAGTCCCCTACGTGCGATGAACCTCTTAAAGCAGTTAAGAAAAGCTTGGGTCGTTAGATCAACGACCAATTCTAGGTGGACCGCCTTAGTCGCGAAGCATATAAAGACGCATAAATACGCCTTGGTAATAACAGGTTTTCTAACTGTGCCTGATTTAACAAAAAATGGCCCTGCGTAATCAACCCCACAATTTTCGAATGGCCGACTTGGAACAATACGACTGCTTGGTAACTCCCCCATGTATTGCCTAAAATCCTTTGGTTTTGCCCTAAAACATACAATACAACGCGATAAAACACTTCTTATTGTTTGACGACCTAATATGGGCCAGTATTTGAGACGCATTACTGCTAAAAGCGCCTGCGGACCTGCATGTAAATGCTTGTAGTGCTCACATAGAATGATTAACCGCGTGACGTCGTGTTTATTTGGAAGTATTACCGGAAACCGCTGATTATAACTAAGATTAGCCTTGGCTAGCCGACCTCCTACCCTTAATAGCCCATCCTTGTCCAAAAACGGATTAAGAGACAAAATTCTACTTCGTCTATCCAGCCCGCATCCCCCTTCTATGGCCTTAATTTCAGCACCAAAAACTTCACGTTGAACTAATGCGATTACCACTGTCCATGCTTTATCAAGCTCCTGTACCGTTAATGGACCTCTTCTAGGTGGTTCCCCTCTTTTAGAAGCCCTGCAATTTTGCATAAATCTTAAACAATAAGAGAATGTTCGAAGTAATTTATTGAAATTCGAGAACCTTCTAAGCACCTTATTAAGATCCGTCACGATATATGAATGTTTTATGATCTTCTGCTCAGGAATGACATCAACACTAGGAATATGAGTTTGAGGAAAGTAATTCTCTTCGCGAGATAACCAGAATGGGCCTTCCCACCATAATAAATTTTCACTTAAGCTGTCACAGTCAGTACCCCTGGAGACCAAATCCGCCGGATTTTGCTCTGATGGTACATGACCCCATTGGTTGCCTCCGCTGAGGGTTTGAATCTCCGCGACCCTATTTGCCACGAATGTTGTCCAAGTCGAAGGTTCCCTTGACAACCAAGACAGCACAATGGACGAATCCGACCAATACCTTATTTGAGACGGATTTATATCGATCGCTTGTAAAACTGCCTTAACCAACTTAGCCAACAAAAGGGCACCACATAATTCTAATCTGGGAAGAGATATTACTTTAAGTGGAGCAACCCGTGATTTCGAACATAACAACCTTACGTGACAATCTCCCTTCTGGTCTACTGATCTCACAAAAATACAAGCCCCGTAAGCCTTCTGCGAAGCGTCGCAGAAACCATGTATCTGAAAATCCCTAGACCCTGTGCATATAACCTGCCGTTCTATTTGAAACACCTTTAGTTTCTGAAATTCCTCTCTCAAATTTAACCATGGAACTAGAACACCTTGCGGAACTTCCTCGTCCCAACCTACCTTTTCCTTCCATAATAGTTGAAGTACAAGTTTAGCTTTAATAATAACAGGAGCCAACAGTCCCAAAGGATCGAATATCTGGGATATCAATGACAAAATTATGCGTTTGGTTACCTTATTGTCCAATAAAACACCATAATCTTCAGGACAATCGTAGTGCAAAGTATCTAGGTGTGGATTCCATCTGATACCTAGTGTTTTCGAAGTGCTATCTCCTGATATATAATGCTCCACATTTGGCTCATCGCAGGTTAACAGAGTTTCTGGTTTATTAGAACTCCATTTTCTCAGGATAAACCCACCCGAAGCTAACACCTGACTGATCCCTTTCTTAATCTCTCGGGCTTCTTCAACTGTATCTGCCCCTGTCAAGAGATCATCCATGTAAAAGTCCTTCATGATTGCCCTTCCTACTTTATCATCCTCACACTCCGAGAGTTGTTGCAAACATTTTACTGCCAAATATCCTGAACATGCCATCCCATAAGTAATCGTGTTTAACTTAAAATGTCCGATGGGTTCATCCGCGTTAAATCTCCATAAAATTCTTTGCAGATCCTGATCCTCCTCCGCAACCCAAACCTGCCTAAACATTTTCTCCACATCAGCTGTTATGATTACTGCGTATTTCCTAAGACGTACTAGTATATCAAAAATATCATCTTGCAGCTTTGGACCGACCATTAGCTGATTATTTAAAGACACTCCAGTGTTAGTTGGTGCGCTGGCATCAAAAACAACTCTTAGCTTGGTGGTCAGTGATGTTTTCTTAATAACCGCGTGATATGGAAGATAATACGCTACAGGTTCATTAATTTCCTTATCCGAATATACTCTAGACATATGGCCCAATGAAAGATATTCTCTTATGAATGCGTGATACATTTCCTTCAATTCATTGTCCCTTTCTATTTTTTTCTCCAATGAAGAAAACCTTTTTATCGCCACATTGACTGAATTGCCTAACTCTGGTACCCCGACACGTATTGGCAACTTGACAACGAATCTGTCATCTTCGCTTCGTTTCGTCGTTTCCGCGAAAAATCTTTCACATTCTTCTTCTTCCCTTGTTAGTCGTTTCTCATAACCTATTTCTTCTAGAGCCCAAAATTTTTCTAACTGCCCCTGAACCGAACAGTTAGATGAGAAAAGACACCTTTTTGGTTGTGATTGCTTATGCACTTGCATTTGCCCTGGTTTTAAATGCATAGTCCCAGCAATCACGAATCCCAGCTTTGTTCCAAAAAGTAGAGGCTTACCTTTACCTAATTCAACCTTCTCTGTGCCCAAAACGGACCAAAACACTGAAGCACCCAACAGCATATCGATCTTACCTGGTTCACCACAAGATGGATCCGCCAATTTAATGTTTTCAGGTAAATTAAGTGATTTTAAATCAATACTAACCGAAGGAATGTTGTTAGAAATCTCATCGATTACCAGACGTCAGCATTATATTGCGAATGAGTCGAATAAATCCTTGCAACTACCGAGTGATCAATGCTCATGGTTTCGGGCCCTATACCCATAATTGAACTGTTTATCCTTTTCATTGGAAGCCTCAATGTATCACGAAACGCTTTGGTCACGAATGAAGACTGTGACCCGCAGTCTAACAACGCCCTACACTCATGCCATTTACCTTCTATATCCTTAACCCTTACAACTGCAGTAGACAAGAGAACCTCCGTAATTTCCTTTTTTACACCTTGCATCTCGAGACCTTTATCTTCACTACTATGACCGTTAAATACCTTTGAGTCACCTCCTTCCGCTGCGCCTTCCTTGGAATCCCGAGTTTCCTTACCTGTGTGCTGATTATCATGCAGCAGAAGATGATGTTTTCCTTTACAACGCCTACAACCTCCAGATGTACATGCATGCACCCTGTGTCCCAGTTTGAGACATTTCCAACAAGCATTTGACCTTGACACCACTCCCCTCTTGTCCTCCAACGACATATCCAAAAATTGTTTACATTGCTGTAAACAATGTTCATCTGCCTTACAAAGTATGCAACTAAATGTTTTAGTTGTAGATCGGGGAGGGGGTAGGTGAGGTTTCCCTTTCCCTTGGTCATCAGTATTTGAAGATCTGATATTGGTTTCCCATACTGCACATTTGTTTACCAAAAATTTAAAAAAATCATCCATAGTAGCAAATTTATCGACCGAACCTTGTTTTCGCCACTCCTTCCTGGTAATAGGATCCAATTTCGATTAAAGCAAGTAAATTAGTATTGGATCCCAGTGTTCTACGCCTAAACCCAAAGTTTTGAGTGCCCTTAAATCCTTACGCAGCTCATCTAACATTTTCCTTAACCCGGAATGAGACTCCTTGGTAAGATCCGGTACATTGCAAATAGAGTCAATATGACTAAGAGCGATTAACTTTTTATTTTCAAACCTTTCCTTTAAAAGATCCCATGCAACCTGATAATTTTCTGAAGACACCTCCAAAGAATGGATCACATCAGCCGCCGTACCCTTAAGCGCTTAGATAATAAAATTTTTGAATATTAGTTAAAGACAAATTCGAATCTACTAAGGACTTAAAAGAATCGTGAAATTCCAACCACTGCTTGTATGAACCATAAAAGTTAGGTACTTCCATTGGTGGAAGACGTACTTCCGTTCTTGGAGCAGTTGAGTCCTGTGTACTCCCACCGTGCGCAAGCAAATTTAGGCGACCAAGAATGTCAAAATACTTTGTACCAAAATCATCGCGTTCAGCCACTTGCTCATCCGAATTATCCAGGTCCTCGATTTCGTCCTGGATGCTTTCAAATTCATCCCACCACGCCTCCGCTCTTTTAAGACGTATCGAAATCTCATGATGCTTAGAGGAGTCATAATTCTGAATAAAAGTTTCTAACCGTGTAAGCTGCCCTTTAATATTTCCCCTTTTTCGAGTCAATTTAGCTAGATCAGTCATCTTGACCCTTTACCTTAACCTTTACCTTAAAACCTTAACCTTTACCTTAAAAACCCTTATGAATGTTTACCTTACCCTTAAATTATCCTTAAATCTGACACAGATTCTCAACCCAAGTGCGCTGTCTTTACAAACAGTCCCTTACAAATATAAAACACAAATCAATTTAATAACTTACAAAAATAATATAAAGAAATGGTACGTAAATTTGGAAAAACTGGACTTATAAATAACAAAATCTATTTAGAATTTAACCTTTTGTCCACCTTAATAACAAAAATAGAAACAATAATTAATTTAATGCACAAAATAATAATAAAATGCACAATAAAACAATTATGTGTACCAAATACATCAAAAGTAAATACTTATTTGTCAACTAAATCAACCATAAATATCTGTTTTTCGAATAAATCAAGCAAAAAATATTTATTTTGTCAAATAAGTCAAACGAAAAATATTTATTTTGACAAATATAAATCAAAGCAAAAATATATAAAATTAAAATTGCTCACCCTGTTGCGCACTGCACCTACCTCGGTCAGTATCCAATCTGTGTAGATAACCTTCAAATCTTCTTAAATGTCCTTAAACCTTAAATTTCCTTAAACCATATAAATATCCCTTGACCTTCCTTAAATTCCCTTAACCTTCCTTAAATGAGTATTAGCCTGGTAGTCCTTAAAGCCACTATAGGTATTATTTGTAGGTATTTCCTTGATGCACTGACCTGTTCTTTTTTTCGATAAATGTAGCCTTGTAGCCGTATCCTTTCCTTAATTGGACTTTTCCAATTATCCGGCTCGAAGGACCAAAATGGAGCGTCTTTTTCAATGATGTTTACCTTTTATATACAGCTACAGACAATAAATCGAGTGTCTTTGTCAATATGGTCTTTATTTCTAATTTACTGAATAACACGACAACAGAAAAATGGTAGTGCGATGCACTCCCCTTTAAACACCAGGCAATACTAAGTTTTTGTAAGCTTTTCGGCTGCGCTGTGGGCCTACGTCACTTCTGCCTTCTGCCAGCGACGCGCTCCCCGCCGGCGGCGATCAAGGTCCTGCGCTAAGGCCTTGTACGCATCGTACGTCGTACGGCTTTCAAAAACCCAACACTCCCTATGCTACGTTTTCCATCGATTTTCTATTATGAGCTGTATTTCTTCATATTGACATTTGCATATAAAGGTGTGTATTTTGGGTTACCACCCAAAATTGATTTTGAAGTCATCAGGCATCTTAATAATCCTGGACGATAGGTAATTAAAGCAATCCAATAATTTACTCAACCTCAAATTTTGGTTATTGACTACTCCACGCTAGTTTCTGTATGTGAAATTATTGCCCAAGTGCATACAATCGTGAATAACTTTCATTGGCAGTTTGTTACCCAAAAGTTCATTTTCAGTGTAGTTTATTGAAATAACACGAGTTAGAGCAAAATTTCCTGTCAAAGCAGACCTATTATATCGGATCTGCGCCTATTGTTACGTTTTCAATTTATTTTCTATTAGGTTAGTATTAGCCTATTTATTTTATATTACTCATTATTATGTATAGAATTTATTTAATATATTATTATTTCACTAAGTCTGATTGATTTCATAAAAAATCAATTAATTTTAAATTCTACCTTACAAATAATATAACTATTCAGATAAATATCCATCGTTTAACATATGTTGTTTTTAGTTTGTGCAACAATACTTGTAATACTTAAATAGACATAAATGTAATTTCTCATAACATTTAAACACATAATATAATCAAAGTTCAATTATTTAATATTAAGGCTTTTATAATAGTCCAATAAATGTTTTAACTTGAATGGATGTGTAATATATGCCAATATAATATGATGTTCTTCATGTATGATCACATTGGTTATTATATAAGATACAAAAAAATCTCTGAATGCATTCATTTAGAATCTGAAATGTTTTTTTAATTAGAACCCTAACATACCTATTATCGGTCAAATTTATAGTGTGGAGCAGATGTAAGACCAAGACTCCCTCAGTATTTTAATTTTTGAATTTTTTCCTGTATATTTGAGGTGTTTGTCATTTATAGCAATACCTATAATAATAGCTCCCGTATATAGCGTTTAATGCCTTGGGAGTAGCAAGGTACATCTTGCCATGCTAGAGCCATTCGGTATACACGGAAGGTAATGTTGCTAGCACTACGCTTCAACCGCCTATTATTACCTCAGGGTTGTGAATCCCAAGTATTCATTTAAGGCTGAGTCGACCTAGGTACCTAAACAATTTTTATTTTATTAAAAATAGTCGGCTGATGAATTGGCGGCTGTAGGATTCGAACCCACAACCTTTAGATCGGTAGACGAGAGCTGTACCTCTACGCCACCGGGCACCTATGACAATACCTGAATATCTATGAATTCATAAAAAAAATTATTGGTTTTGCCATTTTAACACATAGTTACTTACAGTTCCCGCCAAAAAGTTTGCTACAAATCGGAAAGATCTTTGGTATTGAATTATCCAAAAATGCTCAAGAGAAATTAATTTGAAGAATGAATTGAAAAATATTTTGACTTATTATCGATATTTGAATATCATGACGTAATTGATATTACCTTAATTGATAACTTAATATTATTATATTATTATAATGAATGAATTAATTAAGACGACACTGCCATTGGCGCAGAAACCATGGAAGACTCGCAAACGCTGCTAGACAGGGTACATGAAGCTAGTTGTTGCGAATGGGGTATTAATATAAATATCAAGAAGACGAAATGGATGTTTGTGGCCCACAAAAATTGTGGGTAAAATACAAATTAATCCAATCCCGATAAAAATTAGAGGACCCAATATAGAACAAGTACCTACCACATTATAGATATTTAGGAAGCCGCCTAAATAGTGAAAATACATGTGACGAAGAAGTAAAGGCAAGAATTGAAATGGCACGTAGAACATTCAAAAAATGGAATACCACTCTCACTAATAAAAACCTGTCACTGCAAATCCGGTTACGAACACTACGTTGTTATATATGGTCCACTCTTCTTTACGGATGCGAGATATGGTCGCTAAAAGTCGAGAATATAAATAAAATAGAATCTTTTGAAATTTGGTGCTACCGGAGAATCCTTAAGATTTCTTTGACTGAACATACAAGCAACAAAGAAGTTCTTGGACAGCTAAATAAAGATCGGGAACTCTTAACCACCATCAAGGCCAGAAAGATTAGCTACTTCGAACACATAATGCATGGCAGCAAATATTATATTCCTCGTTTGATCATTCAAGAAAAAGTCGAAAGTAGAAGATGGGTAGGTAGAAAGAAACTGTCATGGCTGAGAAATATACGAAACTGGACCGGTCTGGAGGTGGAGAGGCTGTTTCATGCAGCAGAAGATAGAGAACTCTTCCACGAAATAGTCATGGAGATCGCCAACGCCTGAAGACAGGCGCAAGAAGATAATGAATTAATAGCATTTGCTTGTGAAGTATCTAGGTATCTTAAATGTCGTATTAGATATCAAGATAGTGAAAAGGCACCAAAGAAAAATGGTAACGTACTCCGTTTTACATTATGTGCCAATTTTCTAATAAATATAAAATGATATATTTCTATTTATAGCACACTTAACTCCACATAAACATTTATTTTGCATGAAATGAATTTGAATAAACAAACAGATACATAATATAAAAATGCATTTATGTAAACCCCTTTATTAATAATAAGCTATTCACACCCTATTCTGTGGGTTTAATTTAACCTAGCATTAAAATTATATAATTTATCATTATTAGCCTTATAAAGTTACGAAATAACTTTATTAAATTCTTTCGTCTGATTTTGCCCGTTCCTTTATATTCTAAACAAATACTTACCTTAGCTGCTAGTCTTTTATGCGTCTGAAAAGGTTAACTTATTACCATCTGAAATAAATTGAATAAGATAACATTAAATACCAAATCGTGATAGCAACACTAATTTTAGAATAAATTACCACTAATAAAGTTTACTTTTTCTCGTTAAAGATATTTATAAACTGATATCTGATTACAAGATATACTCGTTAAGGTTCAGATAGGCTTTTTTGACCACCCAACTAAAAACAGATATTTTTGTAAATGAAATGTTGAAAGTAATGTCATAATAATTTAAACCGTTAACTAAAAAAGAGTTATTTAGGTATTTAGCACTCCAATTATTTGTTCACTCCAGGCACTCCATTTGATTATTTACGAGATATTTACAACAAAAATGAAGTTAGCACTAGGAGGAGTAAAGGAAGGTTGAAGGAGAATAGTAATATATTACTATTGTAGTATATACAGGGGATGAGTGTTAAATAACTGCAAATATTTTTAGGGCTAGTAGATCTCGATAAACGAAACATGTTTTCTCTTTACCGTTTTTCAAATAAATCCAAAATAACCGAGTTATTTTACTTTGAAAAATTTGAATTTTGAAAAAATGATTTTTTGATTAAATTTTTAGAACCACTGGATGTTTTCTGGGTTTTCTTTCTTGTAAATTTAATCTATTACCTGTATTGCCCTATTATTAAGAAATTATGTTTTTTAACTAACAACTAAAAAAAATTCAAAAAAATCCAAATTTTCAAAAAATGTATATTTTTCGCGAAAAAAAAAAACATAATCATATTTCTGGGGTTAAAATATACTACCCCTAAAAGTATTTGTACTTATTTAAGACTCATCCTGTATAAATTTTAGCGTAAAAAAAGGTTTAGGTATATTAATCCGTAATTGGCAATATCAGAACACCTTACTACTGAGTGCACCGAGACGACAACCGTTCGTGCCATAAACTTTGGTACGGCTGATGTCGAAGATGGCTTATGTGGAGTCGTCTCAGATACTGGCTTTTGTCAAAGCCCTGAGACTGTAAGATGAGTTATAACTCAAGAAAGTGGAACACACAAAAGATCTGTAAGGTCGCGGTGATTAACCCCTCTCCTAAACATTCTACATTCTACAACCC